GTATATGAGCAGTGCGACTGGGGCTTAATTATCGATGGTTTGGAAATCTTCCGCAAACCCAAAGGAAACTGTTATTCCGGGGTTTATTTTTCTTATAGTTCGGGGGTGCTTTGCTGGTGATGAAAGAAAGGCCAAGGGTTTTTTTTTTTACATATTGGGTAAGGTTTTTTTTTTTTTTTTCCGGCGTCGGCGAGAAATCAGCCTTTATCGAGTACCATGATGAACCGGACACGGCAGCGGTGGGGTTCCCCGACCTCCACACATCGCACACATACGCTTGACCCGGATAGCTCGGAAACGCAAGAGTGTGTTTTGGGTCAACAAATATAAAGCGCTAGATAAAAACTTTTTTTTTTTCCCGGGGAACTTGGGGTTTTTCTCGTTCGGAAACAACGGCTCTCATAACCTTTTCTTGTTTTTCTAAAATTGGTTTTGGGGATACTTTTTTTTTGAGTTATCGGTGTACTACCGAATCCTAATCCTAAATGATAAAAATTACAGATCATCATCATGGCCCGCATCGTTTCGTCAATCGTTGATTGACAACATTTTACCTACGCAAGCTTCATCAACACACGTATCGTGGACACTGTGATGTTTCAAGGAAAGTTAGTTGCCTTCGTGAACCGCACGCTCTTGCGACGTGTTTTCCACAAAATGTTTTGGCGTGGCTATTTTTTTTTTTTTTTTGCCAGGCGATTTTTGCTTGGCATCATAATGTGAGTTGTGCAGTGCACTGCCAGAGCTACCTGCGCGAGTGCGTAAACGATTTGTTCGGAGTCTCCTTCGCACGAGAGGGCGTGAGTAGAATGAGACGCATGACGAAGACACGTGCTCTCCCAGCAGCGCGGGGCTGCATGCACCATTGCGAAAGCTACGCAACAACGTAGAAACTCGCAGCACAAAATAGTTGACGCACAGATTGAATTACTTCGCTCCCTGGAAGTTTACCGGACGTCTTACCGGAACCTCGCGCAACGTGCTTGCGAAGGTTACCATCATTTTCGTATCCTAACGCTATATCACAGAAACGAGAACGCGCTGCACGTCCATGCGTGACGAACCGTCGCGAAACAGAAACTCTCGACGAAACGGTGCAAGATGTGTGAGTGAAAACCACGGCCGAGCTTGAGTGAAAAACCGCTCTGTGCCCCGGCCGTAGTGAAACAAACGAACGCGGGGTTCGTTTCGGCGATACGATTTGTCGAATATACGTTTCCGTGTCGACGAAACGATCTTGTTTGCGAAACGTCGCAAACAAGACTCAACTACGAGAGCGAGCTTGCCAGCTCAGCCGTGCGTGCTCCTGCGCGTTTGATTTCTTTTTTTTTTTTTTTTTTTTAATCGGCGTTCGAACGCTAGACAAATATCGATTCGATCTCCACACTCCCGATGTAATGATCGCAGCGCATCATAAAACATTCGAGCACAGCGTTTACAAGCTCGAATATTCCTACCTTTGTGTGTTTCTCCCATATAGACCTGGCTGTATTGCCTGGCGTCAAGCGTTATGGCCGCCGGTGGTGCCACCGGCGGGCTCCCTATCCGCGATCCACCCTACTACAAGGGGAAGGGGGCCACGCTTACCAGGAAGCCGCGAACCGCACTTGGACCCACGCAAAGAACCGCATGCGGCTCGCGGGCCGCAGTTTGGCCCCACCTGCTATAGAACAAGTAATCGAATCACGAACACGAGCAGCCGTCTGCGAGCGCATTAATCGATCTCATTGTGCCGTGGGAAGCTCATCATTGAGTGTAGGAGCTCTGCGTGTTGTCACTTTAAGACCGCTGTCGCACAGCGTCATACGAAAGACGGTCTGCAAACATTGAGGTACGTTTTTCCTTGTTGGACGGTCCTATAACATGGGTCATAAGAAAACTGTTTGCACACATGTTCTAGTCATACGTATATATGAAGCAGACATGTTTTCTGATACTCCCGAGCCGTGTACGCAGATAATTCTCTCACACTGTCTGCAGAGAAACTCCGTGTCTTTTTGTACTACGTATGAGCGGTGTGACCGTGGCTTTATGGAGACGCCATTAAACAGTGCACTGGGGTTATATAAAGGATTCACTTCTATGGATTATACAAAATTTATAACTCGAATGAAATGCTAATATTGTGACGCTGAAGCGTTTATCGTGGCAAAACCATGCAAATGCGAGAACAAAAAATAAATCGCACCACCTTTTGTGCACATATTTTGGCTTTCTCCGACTAAACGCCATCACAGCAACCAACAAAGATTGTTTTTTTTTTGTTTTTTTGACAAGAAGATTTGTTTTCTGCCCACCCCACGTTGGCGGAAAACCTACAAACATTGGCAATGCCTCATCCGAGCATCGCGTATACCCTGAAATTGAAAATCCCCCAAAACTCCATTGTATCTCCCTTCATGAGGGAAAAGAAACAGCAGAACGCATTTTTGTGGAGTAGCTAATTTATGTGATTCACTATATTCGCCGCACCATTACAGTGAATCACCGTGTGTGCGATTACGAAACTGATGAGAGCGGCGTTGTAAATGCAGTTTCTACGTAGTCTCCTCGAGTGCGTCGCTGACAAACTATCTTTAAAACACGAAAATGACATGGCCTGTACCAGGCTACATCCCAAATTACGGTGATCAACTACTATTTATTCATGCGAAAGCACTCACTGTACCATGGAGCGAGTCGACGTCATCCGTTTGAAGCGCGCTAAACGGCACCTTAAATCCTTTCTCCAAGTGAAGCCAGCTCCCAGCTACAAAACCACGCAAAAAGCCTAGACAACGGCACCTAGTTTCCCCGATCCCGAAGGAGCGGAATAAAGCTGATGGATTTCGCCTTCAGTCCCATTGGCTGGCGCGCGTCGACGAGGCTCCCATTGGCTGCTGCGCGCGTTAGTTTCAACAGCCGCCGCCCCATGGCGCTGCGTGTCCGTACCGCGAGCGCGCCTGTAACACGAAGCGTCCAAGGTCAGAGCTGCGAGGAGAATTAAAACTTGTGTTTGGGCGAGTTGGTTCATACTGATTTAAAAGGTTAAAAAGCGCAAGCGAGGAAAGCTGAGAAAGCGCTCGCACGGCCGACGCAAATACGCCGAAAACGACACACGGGAGCAAAAGAACAGCACGCATGCTTTGGCATTCACAACTCATAAGAAGTGCTTGGCTGTACCTCGAGCCTTTTGTACGTTAGATTCGGGGTACTCGTAATCTTGCGTTTATTGAAAATCCGTTAGTGTTCTTCTTTTTAATTACAAAAACGCGACTTACATTGATCCATGGATCTCTGCCCTTATCCCCTAATCCCTACAAGCTTTTGTTCTCTGACGAATGCCTTGTTTTCTTCCTTTTGGCCCGATGATTCATTGTCACGAAATAACCAGCTTAAGTCCGGAAGCAGCCGACGCTACGAGCTGATGGGAGCAATCAGTGTCAAGAGCGAAAGTCATTGGGCCTTCTCTGTAGACGATTGGTTCAGCGATGATAGAACGTACAAAAATACAATTAACGCCATGTGGGTGCACTTTGGACGCTATAGGATTCGTCCCATCAGCAGCGTCGGCTGCGTCCAAACTTGAAACAAAGTCCACAGCTGTCCAAAGCAACAGAAATCGCGAGATTTTCGTTGCCTTGGAGAGAATTACAATATTTCACATGTGGTCTTCCTAGATGATACTGAAGAGGCCTGCGTAGTTTTCTCAATGTCAAAAATGAAGTCGAGTTGCCATTTAAAAGGTCATACAAACTACAATCAATAACACTCTTCTTTTTTTGTAAATGGAAAGTGTTTGTTGAATTGCAACGCACGCCACGCCGCCTGCAAAACGCCGGAGAAGAGGACGAACACGATCAAAATAGAAGCAGGGCCGGGGGAGGGGGGGGGATTGAAAGGCGAGGGAGGGGGAGGTGGTCACGTGATCTCCGTTGTCACGTGACGGCGCCGTGACGACCTGCAAAAAGGGCGTCCCGTCAACCACAGCGTCACGTGAGAGCACTTGACAAAGATGGCGGCGTGCAGACGAGGGAGAGAGGAGCTGGGAGAGGAGAAAGGTATGTGGAGAAGTTGAATATTTTAGAGCGCAGCTCTTAGGGGCCCGTTTCCAGCCTGAGCGGCGTCGGCGTCGGCGTCGGCGTCGCCGTTGGCGTCGGCGTCGCCGTCGGCGTAACCGCGCCCCTCCCCTCCTCCTCCCCTCCTCCTCTTCCCCCTCCTCCTCCTCCCGCCTCCTTCTCCTCCTCCTCCCCTCATTGTCTAGTATGGTGCGGGGGGGTCACGTGACCTCGGGGGGAGGGGTCACATGACTGGGGGGGCGAGGAGGAGGAGGGGGAGGGCAGAGGTCCGGGGGGTCACGTGACCTCGGGGGGAGGGGATAACATGACCTTGGGCGGGGCGTCACGTGACTTCGGCGGGGGGAGGGGAGTCACCCCCCGGGGTCACGTGATCTGGGGGGAGGGGAGGGGGTAGTCACGTAATGCTTAATTTGTTGTTTTAGGCGGTGAAGGAGAGGGAGGGGGTGGAGGAGGAGGGGAGGAGGATTAGCAGGCATGATCACGAGGGAGGAGGAGGAATATACCCTCCCCTCAGTACCTTTCCCTCCTCCTCCTCAAGAGCTGCGCTCCAATTCGGCGTTACAGGGAGTTGTAAACGGCTTTCACTTTTTTCTTTCTGCACACAGAAACTTTAATTCAAATCCTAATCGTTATCTTTTATTAGCAACATATACACCTCGCCGAGGCATTTATTCTTGTGGTGCAGGCGTATTTTTATAAATGTTCTTAATTTTTTTTTTCGAATTTAATATTGTATTATAGCGAAAACCAGATAGATCACAATTTGAAATGATCTCACGAAGACACCGATCTACTCCAGATATATGAACCACGTCGAGACTGTAAACGGGCAAAATTGAATTGTCAGCTTACCTCCAACTTTTCAATGAGCCAAGCCAAGTTTATTCAGCAAAAGGAAAAGAAAAAAATGTAAAGATGAACTCACGACACTACAACCGTAGAAACAGATTCTCAACAACCTTTATTAATCTTCAACAACGCAAAACAAACAAACAAAAAGGTACACACTTACCGGTGCGAACGAAACGATTAGTGCTATTTCGCGATGCAATTTATCGATAGCGTTACGGTCAATTCACGTAACATTTTCGACTTCAATAACAACATCAACAAGAAAGCGAACGGGGAAGAAACTCGGCTGACCCCCTGACATCACGGTCTAACAGCGCGTGGAGTGAATGCCCAAAAAAATAGTTCGCTTTTTCTTTTTTTTTCACTATGTTGGTTGCGCGAACGTCTACTTGCAGTGAACGTCAGTGTAAAAAATAGTCGGCTTAAAGCGACGCCGCAATTTGTGGACGACCCAGCCAGCGAGATCGTAATCGAAGACGACACCGGGTGACAAAACGGTGCAACGTCCATCCAGAACATGAAAATATATAGTCAAAGATGAGAGGAAACATTCGGAATGCCAACGTTTCGCTAAAAGACTTGGCTTCCTCAGCTCTCTCTCTCTCTCTCTATATATATATATATATATATATATCCGTCGGTTGCCCCCCTCCAGTAGGGACCTTTTTTGTTCTTTTTTCTTATATGAGCGAAGTGTATAACCAAAGATTCCATCATGGCCAGGGTCTCTCAAAGAAAGGGAGTTTTAGTAGATCGTTCCGATACCTCCGATAGCCCCGATAACGATACTATGCATGCGCAAGGGAGGCGGTGGCGGAGTATCGGGTATCTTTATCGGAGTCATGAGAACGATCTACTAAAACTCTCTATTATATCATTCCGATATTTCCCATAACGATATCCGATGACGATAACGATGCATGCGCAAAGGCATTGGCGGAGTATCGGGTATTGCTATCCAAGTCGTCGGAACGATCGACTAAACTCTCTATTGACTACAGGAGTACTATCTACCACGTAATGCGTTTTCTTCCCCGAGTTCACTGTTTTGCGAAAGACACGTGTATACAGCACCCTCACACACCGGACCGTGACCTTTGGACACTTCCAACACTTATGTGAAAGACCGCCCTGCTGCTAATGAGTTCCACCGACTGACAATACGGCCACAGACCAGAAGCCCTGCGTCTGACGCTGTGTCACAAATATACCAGTCATTCTCTTGCTATTTGAAGTTTTAGAAGGTAACGAGCCTTTAATAAGTGAAAACGAGCGTATTGGTGAATATACGAATGTTTTATCCATTCAAGTATTCGTAAGGAGCCATTCTTTCGATGTGACTTCGAGACGCTATATATATATATATATATCAGGGTGTCGAACCGGAACCGAACCGAACCGAAAACCGGAACCGAACCGGTATTTTTTCCGGAACTGAACCCGAACCCGAACCGTTATATTGTTATCGCGATGAACCCGAACCGGAACTGAACCGAAAAAAAAATAACGGTTACCGGCTCATGTCAGAACGGTTCGGCCACGTGCTGTTGACAATGAATCTGCTATCAATGCCATTTGTTTTTTAAGTGCCGTCAACTGACACACACCTCGCTTACGTATTTTTCTTCTCCACTCAGTCTTAGGAATATAAACGCTGCATCCATGAATCTTGACAAACGCTGCATCCATGAATCTTGACATAGGAACCAGTATTGCGCTGGTCGCGGCTTGCACGGAAGAAAAAAATTAAAAAAAAACTGTGCAAAAAAAAAAAAATCGCGTCACGGGATTTCATTTTTCTACAATCTCGTAAATCCTAGATGCTGCTGTGTGCAGCTCATTTCATAACACGTTTCTAGAACGTGACGTTGCAATTTTCTTCTTTTTTTTTATTTTGATGTTATTTTGATGTTGTTTTGATTTTGTTATTTTGATGTTGCAATTTGTCATTTATAATTTCCGAACCGGTTCGCGAACCGGTTCAGCGCCCCGAACCGGTTCGCGAGCCGGTTCGCGGATCGAATTAATCGAACCGGAACTGAACCGTAACAAAATAAATTTACTTGAACCTGAACCGTAACCGAACCCGTATTTTTTTCGGTTCGACGCACTGATATATATATATATATATGCGAGAACATTAAATATAATTTAATGTTCTCGCATGTTAATGCGTTATTTATAAACTACAAAACAAAAAAAAAAAACATGATTCTTCAACCACCAGAATCGGAGCCCACTTTGCGACTATGAAAAATAACTATGTGACGATTCCTAGAATCTGAATTAGCATATTCACGATTGTATCGGCGTACAAAATATATTGCGGCAATAAATACAGTACAGATACCACCATCTCTCTCTAAACCTTAACGCATCATTTTTTTTTCGGACTAGATAGAAAACGAAGAGTCGAAGACTAGTCCGCGTTTTCGCAAACATTGCAAAACATCGTTAGACAGACCTCGGTGGGGACCATACAATTTCACCCCGGTGTATTGCAAACACGTCCCCGATGACCATTACGCAAACTGAGAGAGCGACTGTGGGAATTTCAAGCTCATAGCAGACTGTTTATAGTGGGCCTTACATAAGATATTAATTCGATTTAGTTCGTCACTGGTATGCATCTCCAAACTTAGGCGACGCCGCCTAGCGGTCAATATGTGAAGCGATGAAACGGGGAGGTTGGGCCTATCGAAACGTGCGGCGAAAACTGACGCGACCTGGCGGATAAACCGGGAAGCAAAAGGACCAGCATCAGAAAGCTCCTGGTGGAAGCTACGGGACGAGCATCAAAAAGCTCGTGAATAAAGCTACGGCATAGCTATTGGAAGCGCACTTTCGGATAGACGCACACATTCGAAGTTCGAGGAGACGAAGGGCATTTGGGTGCCGAAAATGGCTGGCCAGTGAAGTCGTGTCGCTTCGTAGTATAACGATTTGCGGTCAGCGAGACCCCTGGTGGTCGCGCTGCAAACCACAAGATGCCCGAATGCGCGCACATCGAGCGCCCCCTCCTACTCACTAGAGCGTAAGTTTGCACTTGTGTGGGATGTACTAAAAAAGGGTGGGTGCTAAAAAGCCCACAACTCTTCACCTGGACGCACTACATACAGAACGACGGAGGCGACACCTAGATTTTCTACGTTCCCTATATACTGCGGTCTAGAGCGGGACACAGGTTGGACATGGGAATGTCGGCGTTTAGGCCGGGACCAATGTTCAATACACCTTTTGAAAAACGCACAGCGCCTTCCGCGACACCGAAAAGATTGCTGGGAATATCCTGTATAAAGAACCGGCTGTCGGAGACGACGGAAGTGACCTTAGGCGACGGAGGAAACGCTGGCCAGTGGGCGAGCGCAGGCAAGAAACTGCGCTGTGTCTCTCTCGCTCTCTTCGGTGTCACGTAATAGTTATTGCGGCAGCACGCAGACGCGCGCAGAGCGCGCCGCCTTTCGAGGATTTTCCGAAAAGTTTATTTACTCTACGCCGATAAAGGACGCCACCTTTAGGTTGATCTCGAACTGAATCCGAGCATGATGCACGATTGGCTATAAAGATCGCTGTCGAATAGGTCGGTCTCTACCTCTGCCTACTCTGCCTTTCCATTCAATCGGAGCCATTTTACATGGAAGATTGGCCATTGGGCTAGGCTTGTGCCCCGCTAACTTTAGCCAACTTCAGCATAGCAACCAGCGTCCCCGGATTTGTGTTATCTTACCGAAAAACGCCAGCGTTCCTTAGCCCGAACAGGCCGTTTGATTGCCATGGTTGCTAGACCCGCAGAACCATCAAGAGAACGCCAAACCCTTCCAGTACGAAGGGCTCAAGCTGGCTTCAGTAACTGACGGCGTCTGCCTTCACATACTGCTGTACGATGCCTGGAACGCGTTTCCGACGGGTTTGTCTACAGCGTCATTATTTTGTGTCTGAATCTTCAGAAGGTGACGTCATAACTGCGTAAGGGTGCGAATCACCACGATCCTGCCCGTGGCACAACAACAGAGGTGGTGACGGCAACCGCGCCCGTTGCAGTGTAGCCCCCTCTGCCGCTTGCCATCAGTCGACATAAATTTACGCAGCCACGGGCAGCGTTCGCTCGCAGCATTCGCTCGTTTCCTTCGTCGACGCTTCGATTCGTATTGTCCAATGCCGTAATCTAATTGGCTGCCAAGCTATAATGAGATGGTCGGTACAGACCGCGCCCAGGGTTTCTCAAGTCGCCAGCGACTATAGCAGAACAAACGGCCATGATCGCGACAACTGCCATCTCATTACACGGCGGCTACTTTGACAATTTTGTATCCGTGCACCGAGAAAACTCCGAACACCAGTCGGAGTCGCGTTCAGGCACCGAGCTTCCGGGACGCTGAGTGATGGCGTGACGTCTGTTAATGTCTTCCGTAGTAGCTTTTCATGGCTCCGTTGACGTTGAAGGCATTCGCCATCGTGAGGAAGGCTTTGGAAGGGCACAGCCTGAAACGAGAACGAAAAAAGGGGAATGAGGACAGTGGGCGGCAAGTCATTCGCTCTCGAGTTGGTTTCGCCACGAACTCGTCTACAGCGGACAGTGGTGTCCAGACAGGGAGGGGAGGGGTTTCTGGACCCTGGTCGTCCCCCCCCCCCCCCCCCCCCCCTCTCCGCCCTCAAACTTCTAAAAAATTATTCAAGTAAACAACACGGGATCGGGGAGGAAAATCTCGCCCCTCAATTTCCCGAATGGCTCCGACACCTCAGAAAGCCGAGGTCTCACTTTACAGCTGTCTAAATGCATTCACCAAACAAATTACATTTCGCGAAGAGCCACAGGGACCAGTTCTCCCAACATCCATGACCGTGCTGTGACCCAGTTCCGAGCCCAACATGTCCCTAAATGTTCCCGCTCTGAGCCCAAGACGTCTCCAAATCTCCCCGCTGCGTGAACGACGTGCCCCAAATGTCCCTATTCCGAGCCCAGCATGTCCTCAAACGTCCCTGTTACGAGACTAACGTGTCCCCAAATGTATATGCTCCGAACCCAACATGTTTCCTCCCATATCTCCCTAGGTTCAGCTATTTCCTTTTACATCTTGTCTCTAGACCTTTTTCACAGGGGCGTGGCCATCTTGAATTATCGTCACTTCCAGTATGGGCGAAAACATTAGTTTGTCGTCGCCACGTCATATGATACTTAGGCCTTCCTTCCCCTCGCCATACCTTCTTGAGTTGTAACGGACTACAGAGTGCCGTCCAACGGCACTTTATGCCCGCATTCGAGAGCTGTCCTATAGAAAAAAAATGCCATCCCTTTGTGAAGGATGTCATGCTTTTGGCACTTAGTGGGAAAAATTAATAAACCTACTTTCGCTGCGCTTTTCTTTTTTTTGTTGTTGTTAAATGTGCTAATTATGTGTATACTCAGACTCCATAAAACTTTCTTGATAACAAATAATATCTGAAAACCAAAACAATGAAATCGCTGACTCGTTTTAATAGCGTAATGGTTAGCATGCCTGGCTAGTACTCTATGGTCTCACAAATATTTAAATTCAATTCGAGCGCCCTAAAAGAAAAAAAAAAGTAATATATAAATATATATATATATATATTTTTTTTTTGAGGGGGGGGGGGGTATTTTGTAGAGGTTGTTCTCGCCACTGGAGAACGTGAGATTTTACCTAAGTTTTATTTTATGTCACAAATAGCAACATTCGAGAAAGTGCCACTTCGATAAACTTAAGATTGCGCATCTGCATCGCGCAGGCATAAACATACATAAACAAGCATTCTGTTCACTCCTGAAGCGTCTGTCTCGCTCGCGCTTTATGTTAAAGGAGCCATGAAATTAATTTTGGGCTAGGATAAAGGATTTTCGATTGGGACTTAACTAATCGCATATCGTTCAGTGGAGGAGGGTAGAAAGTCAAAAAGCCAGCTTTTCGGTAAGAGCATTTGAAAATATAGCGGACAATTTCGCGCCTCCTATCCTTCGAAAGTTCTCCGCTTTTTCACTAATATTCATCCGCGGTACCCAAAACACGTCAGCAGAGCCCAGCTCACGCATTGGACACGAGAACTGCGTCACTCGGACGTATGCGCTCGTCAACAATCAATCCGTCGACGAATATTTGGATTCGCGTTCGTGGCCAATGAGTGCCCTGACGGAACGTATCATCACTTGCGAGTGACAAGTTCTATGGTATGCTTAAAAACACGATGGAAACTTGGAGTCTTAAGCATGTCACGACGACGTGATCTCTCAATTCGCTTTTGAGTTGATTAAAGCTCAGGAAAAGAAGTCGAACAATAATTTCGTGGCCCCTTTAAAACAAAATGTCGGCGAACGGCTGATGGAATACGTGTCAGAATAAGCGTGACTTGTGCTGAACACTTTCGGACGGCACTTGAAGGCGCGAGTGGAGTGCCGTTGGACGGTACTTGAACGCTCGACAAGGGTTTGCGGTTTCGTGAACCCACAATCCGGGTTGGTTTGGGCAGCCCATTTTAAGCCCAAGGTTCGCGCCACTGCCAGTCCATCACACAAAAGACTAGGCGCTCTCTGAGGCGTGTTTCTTCCCTGCACGACAGCCCCGTGACGTTGGTCGTAACGGAACAACTTTCTCGTCCAAGTGTACATGTGCGAAATAAACATGCTTCAAAACATGATTCATACATGTCCGCAGCGAACGCCGTATCTCTTGTATACGATGTATACGGGCGGCGCGACTGCGTTTCTACGACGATGACCAAGTGAATATTTGTGTGTGTTGTTATTTTTCTTTTTCACAGGGAGACCACTGTGTCCAGTATGAACGCTTCTCATTGAGCTTCTTTTACGGCGGTGTGTGTGCGTGTGGTGTAGTGAAGTCGTGTCCCATCTTGCCACACAAGAGAACACGTACACGATGAGAAAACACAAACAAACAAAGAACGCTCGCCTACTTTTCGCTAGTTTTTTTTTTTTTTTTTTTTTTTACAAAGAAAGAGACAGTGAGGCATGCAGAAGCGAGGGAAAGCCACGTGACTTACGCAGGGTATACGTCAGCAACAGCGAGAAGCAGGGAGGTGGCGACGGTGCAGCCGCAAAAGGAAGCGGGCCACTGTTGCGACGCGCCGTGTCGACACAGCACGCAGGGCGAGGGTGTTTCAAAGCAGGTGAATACGGCGCACACAAGCGGAAGCACACGCTATCCACACGCGAGACGCAGCCAGACGCTTACGACGGTAACGGGACCGATCAACGTCAAAAGCGCGTCACTATAAGGCCACCTTTCCGTTCATGATTAGTTCAGCGAGGATAGGCCACGTACAGAAACATGACGAACATCGTGAAGGCGCGTTAAGGTCACTTTCCGCATATGTGATCGAAAAGAGTCTACAAACCTATTGAAAAATTAGCAAAAACCTCATAACGTCATCATTTTTTTTTCTTTGCATTTTGCCGTTTCACACGGGCCTCATTTCATTTATCTTCGAGATAATGTCGGCTTCTGCCACCCGTATCCACGAGACGCCGGCTTCGACATTAGAGAGTTTTAGCAGATCGTATTTTCGCCCTCGATAACGACACCTCCTCTCCCCTCCGGCGGCCTTGGGCATGCGTCGTATCGTTAACGGGTATCGTTATCGGGGCGAAAAAAAACGATATACTAAAACTCTCTATTACCGCGAGATAGGAAGTGAGGGGCTCACGCGGCTCGTACATAGTTTCGGTTGTGTCGCACTCCTGTGCGCAATGCTCCGTTTCGTTGCTGCGCTCGGAGTATATGGAACTCGGAGCGTCGGAGTAGGAGTAAAGGAACGCGGACAGTGCACCCACTGAAAAGGAATCTGAAACCAACTTGGAGCCGAGCGTGTCAGCTTATTCAATATCTCGCTTTGAAATGTCCACTTTCACTCTCTCTCTCTCTCTCGTGAACACGAGCGAGCACGTAGACGGTCTGCACTCGAGTGTCTCGAATTAACTGCACGCGTATCTCTGTTCTATCTCGTCTGTTTGTCGAGGGCGTTATATATCGGACGACGCCGGTGTTTCCTATCAGCAGCGAGTGTTGGGGGTCGCCTATTCCTAGTCAGGAAAGATTCCGCGAACTGCTCCAGGGCGACGCGAGGACCAGGGAGATACGAGGAAAGCATAGAGATGAGGAAAGTCTCCCTTGCGCCAGGTTGTGTTGTCTTGCCACAACTTGGACTCGACGAAACTCTGTTTTCTGGCTCGGGGTGCGCCTCGTCGTAATTACCCTTTCGAATTCCCTTACACTTCTTCGGGGGCTTTCCCGGCTATAGACCGCTCTTCATAAACAGGTAAACGTGATGCGAGTTACGATGGGGCAACGTTATACGTTTATTTATGAGGGATATAATGTAGCCTAGCCTCCGGTTTTGAAGTGAGCGATCAGCGAGAAACTGGGATGAGTATACGTTCTCGAGCACATCGTCAGGCCCGAAGCAACTTAAATGAACCTCAGTTGCCAGGCTCAAACCAATTCGCAAAAAAAAAAAAAAAAAATGCAAGAGCAAGAAAAAATTATTTGTTTTTCATGCATCTCCTTGAAACCTTTCTCAAGATGCCCCTTACTGCAGTGAAAGCATGATTGTTTTGAAATATTTAGTGACTACCTGAATGTATTGTTTTTAATTCCCTGGTATTTCCAAGTTTTTCTTGATAATTTTAACAAAATTTTACCAAAATTTTACCAAGGGGACAGAACGTGTTTGAAGTTTCGTTTTTAAGTAAAAACGCTGGTATGTCTGACGGCCGACAGCGCGATGATAAATCACTAGATCGCCCTGCCTTGTCAGTCTATTCCTCTTTTTTTCCTCTTTTTTTTTTGTTTTTTGCTGATTCAATGTTTTGTTGTAAATAAGCCTCTGGAGAAACTTGTGTTCCCACTCCGGGAAGCAACTGAGCTTCCCGGAGTGTGACTCAAGCGTTGTCGTTTTTGTTTCACTGCTTCAAACAATTTACATCTCATTTTGAAGAGGCTTATGACTTGGCCTCATTAAAAATCTCCGGGATTTGTTTTTTTTATTATTGTTTTTAGAGCGCAGCTCTTAGGCGCCCGTTTCCGGCTTGGGCGGCGTCGGCGTCGGCGTCGCTGTCGGCGTAACCGCGACCTTCCCCCCTCCTTCCCCGAGGTCACGTGACCCCGCCCCCTCTCCCGAGGTCACGTGACCCCCCCCCCCCCCCCCCCCAGTACCCTTCCCTCCTCCTCCTCAAGAGCTGCGCCCTAATTCGGCGTTACAGGGAGTTGTAAAATGCTTTGACCTTTTCTTTTTTCTTTTTTTTTTTTTGTTTTTTGTAAATATTATACTATGCACGCGTCTTGTGTTGCAGTTCAATTTTCCTGAGCAACGCTGATCGAGGTGTAAACTCCCCGACTTTCTCAGACTTGTCGAATTCCCTGACAATTCCCGGGTTCCCCGGTTGTTATAAAAATATACATCCTGCGAAGAGAGTTACCAGTGACTGTCTCTTGACGAACGTACGAAGAGCTTCCGAGACATTTCCACACAGGTGCCATCATCTTTCTTCTACTCAATACACCAATCTCACCAAGCGAAATGCGCAGGCGTGCGGCGCGTTCCGGAAGTGGTGCCGCCGCCATGCTACTTGTAGTCATCGCCTTCCGGCTTCCTGTCTGCATAGGGCTGCGGTGCCCGTACATCATCGTTTGGGATGCCCCTGTATCCGCTCGGATTCGCCTGTCATGTGTGTAGTTCGTAAGGTCGTGTTGTCTGCGATGGCTTAGTTTGTCAACAAGCGCAGACAAACAGTTCCAGTTGTCTTATCGCTTTAGAGTCGCTTCGTCGTCTGCTGCCACTTTCGAGACGGCCGCGGGGAAAAGAACGAAGCCATTACTCAAGCACTGTTGGCTGCTCGGACGTGTCAATGAACTTGAGAACAAGTGAACATCTAGTTCAATGGCAAAGAACACGAACATTCGAGGGACCGTCGGCTCGGTGTAGCACCGCGGAACAGCTTCGAGTGTTTTGGTGGGAAACGGAGTTTGGTATAGTGCTGAGGCTTGTGCATAACGTTGAATCAGCAATGGAGTAAGAGCTAAATAGACTTTCTTGAGGAGCGATAATTTTCTCAACGTCGTTTTATTTTTGCTGACAGCCTCTGTGACAGGGTACAGATGAACTTCGGGGAGAAGTCTGCAAACAAATGAGAAACGATCTACAGGAAGGCTACGCCTGACGCGCCGTAACAACTCGGGTCTGTCAGAAAGCAACGACCATGCCAGATAGCTACAAAAACGTTAGGTGGAGTTGAGTTTTCGTGTACAATTTCTATTCAATTTTACTTTGTTTGCGCAGGCTCTGAGCGCTAACAGTCGCCCAACGATGGAAGCTTTTTTTTCTGCAGTCACGTTTGGTGTTAGTACAGAACGAATCAGTAAAGCGAGCCAAAATCAAGTTGCGACTAAAGAGACCACCACAAGGTGGGTGAGGTTCCTTTGCTGCCTTTTTGGTGGTAAGTGTTGCACTTATAATTTGCATTATGCGGTGTTTTAACGTTTTGTATGAAAAAAAAAAAATAAATGTTGCTTTCGAAAACAATGTTGTTGCTGTTGTTGTTGTTTTTTCAATTTAAGTGATGCATACCGGGAATCACTACATTTTTAGTGATTGTCATAATCATTTGAAGCACAGCTGTGCTTGAAACATATCGTCGCAAAAACAGTTATAACCGCAAAACTACATCTAGCAAGAATGTATTAAAAACGGCCGCCGCAAAGCAGCGTGGCCGTCTCGATTGAGATAGATCGCTCTTTCCGGAGGAAGTTTCTTTCGGGAGGACATAAAATCGAATGCCTTTTCCCCTGGTGCTGTTATTGTAGCACCCTGGCACACAGCAGGTGAAGCCACACATTGGAAACCGCGAGGAAACACCCGATTAAAAGACATGTGCTAACCCGAAAATTTCCAAACGCCGGGCATACAACGCATACACTGACGCAGCCGGAAAGCTGGGGAAAACTACAGGTACCAAAATGCACCGCGGTAGCGGTGGCGTCGCGTAACTCCTTATGATATTGGACAATTAAAAAAAATGAATGGTGTGCTTTATACCAGAAACGGCCAGAGCTCGTTTCCTGCTAAATGACGAAACCAAAAAAAGGTCTGACCACCATTGTGCAATCGTAGGCTTTCCTGTCTCACCTCAATTAAGGGCAGCTTCGCGCAGGCGAAACCTTGACGTACAGTCATCGAAAACGTGAAAGCATCCAGCCGATGCAACTGTACAAATGCGGGTCTGCGCGCGCGGCCTGAACAAGGTCAACTGGACAGCGCCATGCGCCGGGCCGCCGGGCACGCTTCCAGAAAATCATCCGGTCGACGCTGACCGAAACTGTTTGGACACGTGCTTTCCTCCCCGGCTTTTTCCTGTCTCTCTTTCTCTGGTTGTCCTCGTTCCACCATCAATCGCGGCCGCGCGTGGCATACTATACCTCGCGCGTGACTTGGACAATGTCCTTGCCGTCTGCGCGCGCTCGTCGCTTCTTGGGATAAAATTACAGCGGTTGTAGTTTCGCAGCTAGAGAGAAAGAGAGAGACGATGTTTTTTCTGGGCGTGACGCTGTAAAAGGACGTTACGAGATTGCGCTAAAGGCGCCGGTCTATAGCTGACCGAAGGGTGTTGCCAAAGCTGTCCTGGCTTCGAGCGGACTGCAAGCACGCCTTCTTGTTTCAGATAGAAGAAGAAAGGGAAAAACGATATTTCGGAACTCGTGATCTTCGAGAAAGTCGTCGTGCATACAACAAATGAATGGCTCCTAGCTCACACCAGTCCTCTGGGTCTGCGCACGACTCAGCCTATAGATGCAAGTACGTTCCGGTACACAGAGCTGTCACAGGCAGTGCACAATTGAGTCTACCCACACAGATACCTAAAGAAAGAACCACCATAAACTGCCCCATCATAATTAGTACAAAACACGACTGTGGTCCAAGCTGCTTGGAAGGACTTGAAGAGGAGTCACCTGGAAGCGTAACGGTAAACAGTCCTGTCTCTTAGCGATATGCCACCACTTTGAAGCTTCCAGAAGACTCCTCTTCAACGTCACCACAATCATCATAATCAGATCATCATGCTCCAACACCAAGTTGATCTGGAACAAACGTCCAGACTAATAAACAGTCGACGTTTAGATTTTCCGGGCAACTCCTTGAAGAAGCGAAGTTTCTTAGTGATATGTCGGCTACCACTCTGATGCTCCCACTGCAAAAGACTTCTACTCGTGATCATAATCATTACACTCAGTCCATTTTCCTCCATTACAGAGTGACCCTCTGAAACAAGCGTCCAGACTGACGTTTCTGCAAGCATCTACTTCTAAATCGGACTGTTCTCGAGGGCAGACAACAGACAGTACACTTACGCCTTGAGCGCGACCAGGAGGTAGAATATCCTGGGAAGGATGAGGAGCTCCTTGTCCTCGAGCACGGCAGCCACGGCCTCGTCGGCCACAAACTCCGGTTCGAGGAAACCGAAGACCCCGGGGTCTGCGCCGGCGAACATGCCAGTGTTGATGAAGAACGGGCACACGGTCGTGGTGCGGATGCCCGTGTAGCCATCCGTGGCCAGTTCCATGGACAGGGCCTCCTGGAAGCCCACGGCGGCAAACTTGGAGCCGCAGTAGTCGGTGAGCCGGCACACGCCACCGAGTCCGGCCAGGGAAGCGATGGACACGATGTGGCCGTGGTTGGCCGCCTGCATCTCCGGGAGGAAGGCCTTGACCACCTGTGTACAGACGACGTAGCCGGTTACGCGGATGCCGGACGCTTTCCTGAGAGGCTTTTTGCGGTCTTCACCTCACAAACACCGACAAGTGTGCACTATCTTGGACGAGATGAGTTGCAACCATAGCTCCACGAATTCTTCTCCGTACTCCAGACTATTGCCGACTCTAGCGAAATCGACGGCACCTAGCGGTTAGAACGGAAAGCTGTGGCGGCAGGTTCGCTCGCCAGCATTCTGGAGCGAATCAGGTATACACGGCGCCTGGCGGTCTAAAGACGAAGCCTTGAAAACAGGTTCGAAAGCACGCGAGGAAAATCGGGACTTTGACATATCTGTACTGGCGAGAAGGGGAGGAAGAAGGAAGGGCATGGTGATGAGCAGAGACCTGCTAGGCCCATGTGCACGATAACAGTTTGGTTCGCCTCCGATTCGCATCCGCAGACTTTGTATACGCACCCGAACCGCATCCGCAATGTTCTTAAATTATTGCATTCACATCTGATCCGCATCTGCATGCTTTGTATCCGCATGCCACTCGCAATTCGCGCATTCATGTTCCACCATAAATTCAAGCGTGAATAAAAAAAAAATTGTCTAAATGGAACTTTGTAAGATGGTTTTTTTTTTTTCTTCGTACGAAGAACTTTTTGTGTCAGACTATAGGTGAAAGTCATTTTATCATATTTATCATATTTATTTTCTCATATTCATTTCATCATATTCAGTTCTGGGTCGCAGTTATGAGACCGTCCTGTAAGTTTGCGACATTGCAACCAAACGAAGAAAATATTAATTTTTTCTTTCTTTCTTTTGTAACACCAAGCTCGTGAGTTTGAGGTTGAGTGAAGGAGTGAGTTCGATGAGTTCATGAGCTCATGAGTTCAGTGAGTTGATGAGGTCTCTGAGTTCATGAGTTTGACCAGGCATGAGGTCCATGAGGGGCCATGGGTTTGACGAGGGTTTGCGGGGTGACGTCGAGGAAGGGCGCGGGTCATGGGACTTCTCCGTACGTTTCCGGGAAAGTTGAGTCGATGTTCGCTTCGCAATGGCGCTGTTTGCTCCTACGGCTGGTGCCCTGCGCGTTATGAGAAAGGAGGAAAGGTGCCTATGATTTATCTGCTGTCTTCAACTCCGGCTCGCTTCGCGGCGCCTTGGCGTGGCCTTTACCGCTGGTCGCTGCTTCGTGGTGGGGTGACGAGAGAGAAGGCAAGGCTCTCTCCTGCTCGCCTCGGCCGCTCTCGTGTAAACTGAGAGGCACCGATATAACGCGCGGAATTTTGTTGTTTCGCGAAGGAGGCAAACGGGCGATAAATACGCCGGTACGCCTGAAGCAATTGTGCTCGTTTTATGCACGGTCGCTAATCCTGAAGCCAATGTTAAAACTTTCAGCCTTTCCACACTGGCGAAGAAGGAAGATGAGTGGAGCTGTACAATGGAAAGTAATGGCCGGCTGCAAGTTGGCAAGCCAGAGTGGAAAGGCTGCCGCCATCTATGAGCGACGGCGGCAACCAGATACCTGGCTTGCCGCCGTCATTCATAGATGGCGGTAGGTGTCTAGAGTTCGGTGTCTTCATTTCTTTGCGGGGGACACACTGCTGGGGAAACTAGCCCTTCACAGCGCCGCTGTAATAAAATGAAAGCCGACTTGGAACTGTCGCGATTCGCCTGTATACTTTGTTTGCTCAAGTTGTATGTAGCCTGAAGTTCATTAAAAAGTACGTACACACGTCTTCATGCTCGAGTACGCCCGAAACGCCGGATTTGCTCGCAATTTGGTTTAAAGGCTGCTACATTTATTTGGAAGCATATAGAAGTCAATTCGATTATGGATAATCATGGAACAAATACAGACAATAAGTTTGAAGGCAACACTCCAAGAGGTATGAATCGATCTTCTACCTTTTCACTTAATATTTGTGATAACAAATCAACGTTCCTAACTGTTGTTACACACCGTTAGTCGCTCAAAAGGGGACCACTGAACATAGTTCAAATGCTGGCTGCACCCGAAAACGTTTCGAGTGCGGGAGAAAGGGTTATCTTAGTAGCTTCAATAGTACTTAGATATTAGTTATGATTCGTATATATTATTACGTATAAATCGGCACAGCTCGCACCGGTGGACGTCTCAGTCGTTTACGAGGAACACTATTTGCCTTTTTAGCAACGTGATTTATATTTATACCAGTAAATACCAGGTTGGGGGGGGGGGGGGGGGGTAAAATCCGAACCTGAGTAATTTAAAAAAAAATAATAATAATATTTGATATGTGTGCATGCGCGTGCGTTTACACAAGCAACCTTCCCTGCCCGAAGAAATTAAGCGCCTAAATCATAAAGAATTGTAGACTGCTGAATTAATTAGGTTGCCATTCCCCCTCCTCAAATATAGCGTGGATATTCGAACTAGGCTATCAGTAGTTGCGAGTGAAGTAATTTAAATACCGAAGGTAAAAGAACTTGCGCTCACACCAGTGGGCCGTTTGTTCATTAAAATTAGCGAAGGCAAATGAAAAATTATCATCCTAATAAATTATTTTAATAGAAAATATAAGTTTGTGCACGTAATTTGTAAATATTTGTATTCAACATATTGAAAGGTTCGATCACAAGCACACATTGTCTGAGCAACACGAATACCGAAGGCATATCTGACATCAATCACGATTTTATGTCAGGATCTATATAGCATAACATTTTACGAGGCTCAAATTCTGTAAATCAGAAAGTTCCAGTTTTATTTAATATAAACAATGCAAACAAAAACAAACGAGAGACGGGATAAAACAACGATAATATGGTACGCACAAAGTTCCTAAGTCGCCCCTTCTCCCAGAAAAAAAGAATATCGACTAGGCAGTTATTTTATGTGAAATAATTTGCGTGAACGAGGATAAATATAAAGTCAGACCCCTCCGAAATAGTTCTACTCGACAACGAATTGCCCTGCAAACCATCCTACCAAGCAGATGCAAAATAAAAACCCACGGTGGTGCGTGTTGGAATAATAATAATTCACATCTGAATTAACAGCAATACAGACGCTCGCTCCGTATACTTGCACGAAGTTGTCACGAAGGCTCTAACACAAACAATGCACACCGAAACGAATACTTTTTTTACAAAACTCGAGATGATGCGCCGCGACTACGGTGAGGGCGAGAGCTACTTCTCAGTGAGTGAGTTCGGTGAGTGAGAGAGTGAGTTCATGAGTCCGGTGAGGGCCGTGAGTTTGTGAGTTCGGTGAGGGGCGTGAGTTCGTGAGTTCATGCGTTCGTTAGTGAGGGTTTGAAGGTGAGTGCGGCCGTAAGGGGGAGATACTTGAGGGTGAGTTTTTTTTATTTTTATTTTGAGCTAGCTGTGAGTGAGCCTCAATCAAAAATGCCGCCCTTTGCTTGGTACAATGTCACGTGATGTCAATTTTTTCGCGAAATTTAGCGGGAAAGAAGAAGCAGAATTGGTGCACAGGGTTCATGACGTCAGGTCACGTGACGTAACTTTCACCGCCGAATTAAGCGTGGAAACTGAATTTGCGTATAGGCCACGGGCGTCAATTTTCCCCCTGAATTAAGCGTGGAAACTGGATTGGTCTGGACTCATCGTGACGTCAGTTCACGTGACGCCAATTTTCCCGCTAAATTTAGTGGGGAAACTGAATTGGAGTGTAGGTCACGTGGCGATGAGCCCTCTAAATTTAGCGGGAAATGCACGGACGAACGGACGGAATATATTCAATAGAAGCGAAAGCATCTCGGCGCATAAACGACAAAACACAATGACAAAAAAAAATTGGGCTTGGAAACCTGTTTCTTTTTTTTTTTTACATATACCGATTGAAAGGTTTTGTCGCGAGCATGATCTCAAGGTCAATATGCTTATTGCCTTTTATATCTGACGGCCTTGAGCGATCCAGGACACAGCGTCTGAAGCGCCCTTGGTGTCTGGCAACTCACGTGTCGAGACCGTGCTACGTAATTTATTGCACACTGTCGACGACATCAAGTCTAGTCGAAGCTATCGATCTCATTTTAAAGGCTGCTCGACGAGCAGCAATTTTTGGACTTCGATAAAATAATTGTTGGAGTACTTCCCTGGCACGTCTGGAGTAAATAATTGAAAACCAATTTTGCCTGAGCGCGTCAGTCATTTTGATAAAAATGGTCAAACAATTGACGTTTTCGGCGCCTCCCAACCGCTCTCAACTCTTACACCATCTTTCGAGTCACGTGCACAGTGACGTGTAGCCAAAATCACTGGAGACACATTGCACCCGTGCAGTCACTACTGCGGGGTACGCGTTAAAGACCCCACGTTAGCGGTTGTACTGCACTGGCTAAATTTCTCATCTACAGCTGAGAGAGGGGTCGGTCACCTGTTGAGGCGTACCAACTTCTGTCTAAACATACAAGCAAGTTGCTTGTATGTTTAAACAGAAGCAACGCACTTCCTTTTTTATTTTTGCGCCCTGCCTGGGGCGCAAAAAAAAACAACAGACACACATGGCGATTTTGAAGATTGGTGTGAGCAATGTGGAGAGGAGGAAGGGGCCAAATGCTTGTCTTGTTGTAAAGAGGTGGAACTGATGTAATAGCGACGGGGTGAGAACAAGAGAGGAACGGTATTCTTCAGCTCGGGCAGATGGCACCACTAAAACTGAATATAATACAATTTTCCCGATGATATGAGGCTTTTGACGCATTTACTCATCTTGAAACGAGAATATTTATAAAAGATAGCCTTAGATTGAGCACACAATGGCGCATCTTGCCAACTTATTACACTGCACCCTGGTTGGCGTCACGCCGTAGTTCCTATGGCAGCCACTCGCTGCTGCAAATCTGGAAATATTCCCGTTCTTTGCAGTTACGACACGCAGTTGCCATATTGCAAAAGGCGTGGTTTCTTCATTCTTTTTGACAAGTACACGGTGTGTGTGCCAGAGCATACCCGATGACGATCCCGGAGATTCAAAGTTCCGAGCAGTTCAAAGTTGAAAATAA